CAGGTTATAATTGGGAAACGGAAGATGCGTGGTATCTGTAGGAGCGGAAAGTTGAGTTTCGGATAAAAAATAGAGCAAGAGGGACAGTGGACTGAAGAAATTGATGTCCAGAATCAATATTGTGGTTCAAGCAGCGAATGTTAGTGAGTGCGATTGTCGAGTGAGAGTGCGCTTGAGAATTGATCCTGTTTATTGTAGTATTCATGCTGAGATGAGAGAGTAACCGGCAACCTAGACCTGGAACCTGGAGTGGCGAACCACATGAGGCCCCGATGGCTAGGCGGTGGTACTGACACGGGCGACGGCAGAACCGTCAACCAAAACAGAATTCAGGAGAATGGAACAGCCGTGCATCTCTTGACTTTGCGGACAACTGCAGTGTACTCTCGCAAATCCAGTCTCTTTTGTGGCAAAGAGTCTTACCTAACTGCCCCAATGCCGCTTCCCTGATGGATGTTTTCAGTGTGGACTACTGTGCGTCCACAGTTAAATCATCGGAGGTCGCGGACATGTTGGAAGCGGTTGCATTCAGCAACGTCTGCCATCCCTCGGGTCGTTCCAAGAGCGCGGCGTTGAATTTGTTCAGGAGACGAGTCTTCCGGCGAGCAATCAGGTGGATCTTGAAGCCGGTGCGTATAAGGATATGGTCTGTGCCATTCCGGTTTCAAGCTTCTGCACCGCGACAGGAACATCAGTAGACCATTGAAGAGGCTCAGCAAGCACGTACCCAAATGTAATCAATCTGATGTGCCGTTCCACCGTCATTTGACTACCACGTAAGTAGGTTTTTTGGGGGTGCAGAAAACACACCTTTTGACCACGACCAATCGGTTAAGGTCAGCAAATGTGACTAGGCGTTCACCATTTTCGCAACGCTGACCAGGGCCGAACTTTCCCTAGACATGCCGAGTATGCTCGTCTGATGCAGCATTGCATGTATTCCAGTCCCATGTGATGAGGAAAATATCGCGTCTCGGACTGTGGTTCACTACGTCTTAATTGTAGTCATCTTTGACGGGCGCCTTCGCATGTAACGCTTGAGCGTAGACAGCGATGATAGTCAGGTTAAACGTCTTACCTCTGAAACGCGCTATGGCCACCGTAGGAGAGATTGGATCCCAGGAAAACATGATATTGTTGGCCCGGCCGCCCACGGCTATTGCTACTCCGTGCAAACCGGAGTTATCAGTTAAACCACTTTGGTATAACCGGTAGGTTGTTTCGTTCGGCCACACCTAGAGTACTGTGTACGTTCTTGGTCCCCAGCTCTGAATAAGGACCAAAGGGTTCTGGAAAAGGTGCAGAGGAGGTTCACGCGCATGTTCCCGCACCTTCAGTGAGCGACATCCGGTTACCCCACCAGACTCGTGCAATGCGACGTAGACAGCAGTGTTCGAACTCTGATACTCTATTTTTATCCTGTTCCCGTAACGACTAAGTCTCTGCACCGTAGAGCAGGACTGGCCGAATTGTCGCGGCATACACTCGACCCTTCACAGACAGCCGGATGTTACGACGGCTCCACGGATGTCTCAAGTTCGCAAATGCCAACCGAGCCTTCTGTATACTAGATGACACTTCATCTATGATGCATCCGCCAGGTGAAATATAGCTGTCCTGATAGCAAAATTTGTCTACTTCCTCCATTACTTCCCCAGTTAGGGTGAGACTGGGTGCTGAACCAACCCAATCGTGTAGTAGCATTTTACACTTTAAAGGTGCAAAACGCATACCGAACATGGACACACTAGCACTTAAACCATCCAGAAAAGCCCAGAACTTACCTGAATCTTCACTTGGTAGCACAACGTCGTCTGCGTACTCTAGATCAAACAGTCTGCTTCCTGGGAGTAAATCGATGCTGCTATTCTCGCACGAGGATAGAGCTGTTTCCATACTCAAGTCTATACCAACGTTAAATATTATTATTACTATTATTATTATTATTATTATTATTTACCACCGGCTTGAAAACAAGCATGGTGTCAACGCAACAACAATGACAGTGAAGGG